ACCGCTCTGGAGAACTCTGTGTTTCTACTCCAGGGCCTGATGGCAGGTGTAGAGCTTGGAAAAAGATTTGACGTGTCAAAAACAAATGTTTTTGAGGCTTCTCTAACTAGAGAAACTAACCAGTGTATCTTACAGCAGAATAGTCCTTTCAGTATAACTTCCCACGTGGAAGTTTTTATTCCAGAAGAATAAACTTTCCTCTGAATGAAATAGTGAAAGTCATCCCTAGAGTTAGGTTATTCTTGTCATTGTGTAGATTATCATCAGAGAATGATATAAAGTACCGATGTCCGTGTTCCTGAGTTAGTGCTGTGCTTGTGGTAGAAGAATCCAGGTTTGTGCAGACGCATCCTGCGAAGTGAGCTGTGCTTACACGGCCTCTGTCACTTCATGATGTTTCCTTTGCCTCTGCTTCTCTATTTGTTTCTCTAGCTCTTGTGTTGTACTGGCTTCTAAAGAGCAGCTCCTTATTCCAAGCAATAGAGAGAGGTTCCGATTCCTCTGTTGCTGTGCAGCTTTTCTTCCCAGTGTGTCTATTGAGGTTAGTCCAGGACTCTGGATTTGCCCCTGCAAGAACAGCAGTTTACAGCAAATCATTGATCACCTGTTTTTTAGCACTGTTTTGCCATTAGGTGGGAGTCTGCTGGCATAATTAACATTAGTAGCAGGAACCAAAACTTCTCAGGAAGAAAATAAACATCTGCTTCCCATGGCCTGTAGTGAAAAGCCAGACTAAGTTGTCTGCAGCTTGTGTTTGCCATGAAAATTGCATCGCAGTGTGAAGCAGATCATACTGTGAAAGGAGATTCACTTAATGTGCGTGTGTATCCTTGAGCAACAGGACACCTCATGTTCATTTTGGGGGGGGTCTTACTGTTTTTAATACACCTTCTTCTAAGGGTGTAACACTTGTTCTATAGAAAGGCCCTTTGCCTGCAACCTGAATTAGGGGTTAGTTAGAAGAGGCACTTAGAAATCCTCTCTACTCCCCAAAATGTTTGAGAATTCTTTTCTTTTTGTGTTGAACAGATTTCCGGACTTGTTGCATGATGTATGTTTTATGTTTTGTAGCTCCTTCTCTCACTTCCTCACTGTTAAGCCATTTTGTTACTACTTTCTTTATCTCCTTTTGAAAGTCTTATCTCTGAACAAAGGCATATCCATATTGGATACTGGATTTTATTGCCACTGTTGGGTCCAAACCCAAACGAGGTGGGAGTGGTGAACAAAGCCTTGTTGTAAACCAGTGAATGGAAGGTGAGATAGTGATTGCATTTTCTTTTAAAGCGTCATTTTAGCTTAATGTGAAGACAAATCATCTTGGAGATTTTTTTTGTCAAATACTTAAAATGGCCTGGGAAACAGAATTTTTATTTGCCCTTCAATATGCTTAGCTTTAAACCACTTTAAAATAATGTAAAAGTGTCTTTTTTTTAACATAAGACCTTATTTACATGTGATTATTATTTGTAAACAATACCTTTCTTGAAATGGTAATGTCTAGAGAGTGAAAAGGATGTTTAATTTTCAGACTCAGTTCAGAATAGTGCAAATGTACTTTATTGAACTTCCAGAATTTCTAGTTACCTTTAATGAAGTAGTGTTTCTGTGTCAATGAGGTAGATATTCTTGTGTGTTCCAGCCACCCAGATCATTGTTACACTAATACTATAAGCAATAAGCTAATTTAAACAAGTTTAAGCCAAAAGGCTTTACATTTGGACACAATGGTACCGTTTTTGTTGAACTCTATTTTTGTAACAGTGATGCCTTGTGACTTGAAATGTGACTTTTTTTTTTTTTTTTAAACACCATCTTATTTAGATAGCTCTGTTTCCAGGTCAATGGGCAGCTTAATTGAGCATCTTTGGGCACCTGCTGCAAACATTTTTGGAAAGTTCAATTTTTAAAAATTGGAGACCGTGGAAAAAGTTGCACATAAAATAAAAAGACAAAATGATGGGAACGTTCATAAAAAGATAAAATGATGGAAATGTTCATAGGGAGCTTAAAAAAACTACATCATCTAGACTTTATCATTTCAAAGGGTTTTTTGTTTGATGTTGTTTTTAAGAATATGCATGCCAAATGTCCTGTCTCTTTTCAATGATTTGTAATACACATTTTATGACTGGAAACTTTTTGTACAACACACTCGAATAAATGTTTTGCATTTTAGTCGTTTCCTTTCATTTGAAGGCCGCCAGAGAGGAGGAGAGAGGCTGTTTGCGCTAATTCTCGGTTATCCGCGTCCCTCTTTGCGGAAAGGGCCCGTGGGCGCCTCCGATCCCGGTTACGCTTCGCCCCTTGGGGCTGGGCGGGAACCGAACCTCTCAGGCGCCGCCATCTTCCCGCGCGCGGGAAGGAGGCGGGCGCGCGCGGTGCACGCTGGGTACTGTAGTCGCGGCCCGCGGCCATTTTGTCCCCCCCGGCCCCGGGTGCGGCCGCCGCGCGCCCGCTCTGCGCCATGGAGAGCGGCTTCGGCTCCGACTTCGGCTCCGCGGGCGGCGCGGGGGGGAAGCTGGACCCGGGGCTCATCATGGAGCAGGTGAAGGTGCAGATCGCCGTGGCCAACGCGCAGGAGCTCTTGCAGGTCAGGAGGGGCGGCCGGCCGGCGCTGCGCTGAGGGAGGAGAGGGCGCGCGGGAGGGCAGCTCGTCCCTCACGGCCTCTCTCCGCAGCGCATGACGGACAAGTGTTTTCGGAAGTGCATCGGGAAGCCGGGCGGCTCCCTGGACAACTCGGAGCAGGTGAGCGAGGCCGGGGGAGGGGCAGGGGCAGCCCGCGGGCGGGGGCGGCCGCTGAGGCGCCGCTCCGCTGCAGAAGTGCATCGCCATGTGCATGGATCGCTACATGGACGCCTGGAACACGGTTTCCCGAGCCTACAACTCGCGCCTGCAGCGGGAGAGAGCCAACATGTGAAGCGCCGGAGCCTGCGGGGAAGGGGCGAGCGGCCGGGCCGCGGGCCGGGGTGACCCTGCTGCCTTCCCAGCCCCTGCCGTGGCGGAGCAATAAACTCTCACTGAACCTTTTGCATCCGTTGGCTTTTGTTAGCACCAAGTCCCAGCGTGGGCCAATCTTCCAGCCTTTAAGAGCCCTGGGGAGCTGTTCGCTTGCCCTTGTGCCCTTCCAGGTGCTCCAAGCTGGCTGGAGTGTGGAGTGCCTGGGCTAAAGTCCTTTTGAGGGGACTGTAAGAGGCAAAGAATTTTCTCTGGAAAAGAGAGGTTAGGCCAGTGGTGTTGTCCCCTTGCCTGGAAAGCAAGGGGAACCCGTCCAGGGGGGAGTTTTTCTCTAATTGGAAAAGCTGCTGTGAGATGCTTCATAGCCTGTAGCTCCCTGCCTCCTCCTTCGTGTTCATACAACTATATGTGAAGCTTATTTATGGGCTTTGACTCAGGCCAAGCAGGGCATTGGGGAGCAGGCACTTGTGAGTAACTGTAAACTGCTGCTGGGGGGTGAAAAGGGTTGAAAACAGACTGCTTTCTTCATAGAAGAAAAAGTATATTGTGTGGGTATGCTTTTCTGTACTCTGCCTCTGGTTTGGCTCTGGCACAGGGGTCCTAGGTCTGATTTTTTGAGCAGAAGCACTTGTGCAGTGGAAGAATTTGGTCTGTCTGGGGGCTGAGCACAACTTCAGGCTCAAGGGGGAGTCAGTTTTTCTCTTAACAGGAAAAGCTACTGTAATATGTTTCATAGCCTGTAGTTCCCTGCCTCCTCCTTCGTGTTTATACAGCTATATGTGAAGCTTATTTATGGGCTTTGACTCAGGCCAAGCAGGGCATTGGGGAGCAGGCACTTGTAAGTAACTGTAAACTGCTGCTGGGGTGAAACGGGGTGAAAAGGGTTGAAAACAGACTGCTTTCTTCATAGAAGAAAAAGTATATTGTGTGGGTATGCTTTTCTGTACTCTGCCTCTGGTTTGGCTCTGGCACAGGGGTCCTAGGTCTGATTTTTTGAGCAGAAGCACTTGTGCAGTGGAAGAATTTGGTCTGTCTGGGGGCTGAGCACAACTTCAGGCACGGGCAGTCTGTGCTGCAGTGACCTGCAATGTGCACAGCAGCTGGAAGATGACTGTGTTGGGGATTAAAAGCGTCCCTCTCTCATGAGATTTTTAAAATCCCTCATGTTGCATCTGTGCTGAAAGATTTTACTGTTTGCTGGGGCAGAGACAGCCTGGGAAGGTGACTTCTCCTTAGCTGATAAGACATTCAAAGGGAGATGGGAGAAGGTGGTTTCACTTAATATTGTAACGGGGTGGTTTCTGCAAAGGGCCCTGCCTGAGATAAGCCATTAGGAAATGCTTGCTCAGACTAACTTGAAGCTACACTGGAATCTCAAATGCAGATCGGGTGAAATAAATACTTTAAAATGAGTTGCCTCCCGGCCATGTTCTTTCAAGGGCTTTTTTGCTTCTCTTTAGGGCTGCGGTGCAGCAGCGCAAGGGAGCAGCCCCCAGGAGTTGCAGCTGTGGGATGTGAGCCCCCCTTATCGCAGTCCTGGTGTGATCCTGCCTTGTCTTTCACCGGCTGAGATGGCCCTGCCTTTATTCAAAGGTAGCTGCAGGGGTGACAAGTCTGTCCCGAGTGCCTGGTAAAGGTGAGAGCTGGTCGAGCCCAAGTGTTTTAGTCCTAGCTTCTGTAAGCTAGGCTGAGATTTCCGACACTCCTTTCCTTGAAAAGGTAGGGTTTTTTATGCATAAAATATTTGGCCAGCTTGTTAGATGGGACAGGCCTCATTTATTTATAGAAAATCCTCTAGAATTGCACCTCTCTATGCAAAGCAGTTATCAAATGCCCTGGTGTCGAGCCTGTCGCACAGCGCTGGTGGTTGCCCAACGCCCGCAGCTGCAGGTTATCTTCACCCCTTTGCAGCATCAAGAAAATGTGCAAGATCGGAGGGGTTCGTGCAGCCCCTGGCACTTGCTCCTCTCCTTCGTCTCCTTCCCTGAGTGGAGGACGGCAGCTTCAGAGCTTGAGGTTCTGTGCGATCCAGCCCTGGACAGCTGTGACTTTGGTGTAGACCCCAGGGAAGTAGGGCCGGGCACAGCCGTAGCCCCAGCTTGTGATTCCCGCTAGAAACCACCTCCCTGAGGGTTCTTGACAAGCCAAGGGGCCGCCGGCATCGCCCTGCAGCGAGACAAAAAGCATCTGTGTCAAACCAGAAATGACAGTGGAGCCAGCTCGGCTCCCCAGCTCTGCTGTCCTAGACCTTGGGGACAGGGGAGGATGTGCTGTGCTGTCCCCCGTGCAGGCGGGACGGGGGGTTCAGCCGGCAGCGTCCGCTGCTCTCGCACTCACCGAGCAGCTGTCGACGGTGCCTTGGGGGAACCCCGCGCAGGAGGGGACCAAGTTGGCACCTGCTGCAGGGTACAGCCTGGTTTGGGGTGTTGTGACAGTGGAGGGGGGCACACAGGGCGGATAACACGCAGTGGGGACAGGGAACCCTGTCAGCCAGTACCTCCCTCCTTGGTGGAGCCCCAGCCCGTGATGAAGCATCTGGCTCCTTCACTGAAAACGTGGGAGTTATCGGGGAGACAAATGGGTCTGATGGTGCTGCTGAACTTGAGGGGTGCGCTGAGCTCCAGGAGTGCCACGTCGTAGTCCAGGCTGTAGACGTTGTAGAAAGGGTGCTTGTAGATACGGAATATTTTTTCCACTTGCCCGTCAATGCCGTTCAGGAAGGGGGTTCCTAGAAAGGCCACCCACATTTTGGGGTCGCTGTAACTGCAGAAAGAAAGCAAAACCTGGCTGTGGGGAGTGTGGCTTAGCAAAAAAGAAAGCGCCGCTTTCCCCCTTGCTCCGGGGCTGCGCTGCGGCCGTGAGCTGCGAGGCCAAGCTCCGCCGTACCGAGGAAGAGGAAGGGCAGGAGGGGACGAGGCCAAGAGCGGGCAGGCTTCACACTTACATGTCAAAGCAGTGAGCTGCAGAGAGCAGCCACCGCTCAGCGACGAGGACGGCGCCGCACTTGTGCTCCTTGCGCCGGAGCCACAGGCTGACCTGCCACGGCCATTCGCCCCGCGCCGCGCCGCTGCCACCCACGATCTTGCTGAAGGCCAGAGCGGTAGTTAAGCCACAGTCTGGGACAGCAAGAGAGGTGACAATGTGCTGAATAACCATGAGAGAGGAGGAAGGTCTTTTTGGGGAGACTCACGTGGCCAGGAAAGACTCACCACAGTTGCGCTCGTCGGAGCCGTTGCTGCAGTCGGCAACGCCGTCGCATTCGGGATTTGCTTTTCCAATGCAGACTGTGCTGGAGCACTTGAAGGTGAGGCTGGTACAGGGCACCACTGGAAGGGAATAACCCATGGCCTGCTTAGAAGCCTCCATGCCAGGGGGCACCTGCCAGCACGGTTATGAACAGGGTGTCACTGCGCTTGTACCTGGGGTTTGGGTGGGGTTGGCAGGCTCGGTTGTTTCCAGAGCTGCGGAGGTTTCCATGCTGCTTGTGGTTGTCACCCCCAGGGTGGTTCTGTTGACCGGACTCATAGCGGTTGTGCTGGGCTGTTGGGTGAGGGTGGCTGCGGTGGAAGCTCTGGCGATGGCTGAACTGGACCAAGTGGCTGTGCCTGGGCTGGACAACTCTGCCATGGTCTCCAGGATCCAGTCTTTGAACTTGCTGACTCTGGAGTAGACGCCAGGTTTCTTAGGCTGGGCACAGCCGATGCCCCAGCTCACGATGCCAGCCAGGTAGAACACGCCGGGGGTTTCCTCACAGGCCAAGGGCCCTCCAGAATCTCCCTGAGGGAGAGAAGAAGACAAGGACAGCTCAGAACTCCAGTCTTCTGAAACCAGAATAGCAAAATTCTGGCTTAAATCATGCTCGAGGTGGTGGAGCTTCCTTTACTTTGCTCAAGCCCCAGGGCAGTGGGGTGACCTAAGGTGCACGTTGCTCCCAACCCGGCTACCACAGCTCGGGAAGGATTCCCTGGGCTGTGCTGGGACTGTGAATTAGTCCAGCTATCCGGAGGAGAGGAGTGGAGAAACAGCAGCCTCTCACCTGGCACGAGTCCACCTTCCCTTCCAGGAAGCCAGCGCAGATCATACGGTCCGTGAGGGAGAAGTTGTAGAGGAAGTTGCAGGTCTCCTGGTCTATGATGCCCACGGACGCTTTCTGCAGGCTCTCAGGTTGGGTGACTGCAAGAAAACAGCGGGATTGGCGAGTGCAGCAGTGGAAATGGGAGCTGAAGACCTCTAGACTGATCCAACTTCTGAAAAAAAACAGCTTTAATCCCAGATAGGAGCTGTCTCTGGCCCTGAAACTCTTGCTTTACTACGGCAGTTTTGTACCTGTGCAGGATACTGGGCACAAGCAGCAAGTTTTCTGCTGTCTTGACAGTCTGTGGGCTCCTTGTTGGCTGGAGGGACAGTAGGACTTTGTTGGTAGCACCTGTGCCACCTCCAGTCTCTTGGGATGGGGTTCTAGTTCTAATTGCTTGGCGCATTTTTGGGACAAAGCCTTGCATGGTCACTGAGGCAGCTGGCCTGTCCTGCCAGGGCATCCACAGGAGGCCTCTGAGCCACCATTGCTTAATAGGGGACAACTATTTAGGGGATCCCAGCAGACTACTACTGTTTCGTGCCAAGCTCTTATCTCCACGGTCTTGTTTGCTGGTGGTTTCTAAATAACTGCAATTTAAGGTACTGTTGCACATACTTTCACTGTCACCTTTGGCTCCCGTGTTCTTCCGAGTTCCTTGACTGTCCCTGTTTTAGGCTCCCTCTGCTCCCCACACATTCTGGGTCGCCTTGGTGCAGGCTTTGCCACTGCCCCTGCCCGTGCAGCTGAACAAAGCAACGGGTAAAGCGCCGCTGCTCTTACCATTGCCTTCCTGGGTGTCTCCCCACCCAGAAATCACACACTTTTTGCCAACAGGAAACTTCTGCACAGCAAGTGGGAGACAGACGGGCTGGACATATTTGTTGAAGACAAGGGGTCTTGCCAGCTCCAATAAGGCAACATCAAAATCCAAAATGACGGGGTTGAAGAGGGGGTGCTGGATCACTCGTGTTACGTTGACTTTCACCGTGTCACCATCCGTTCCATTTAGCCATGTAGTTCCCATGTAGGCTTCAATTTCTTCTGGCGTTGTCCTGCAAAACACACGTGCTCACACACACATGCCTGGCACTGGTTAAATCGCTGGCATCTTTAAATCAGCAGTGTTTGAAATCTTACTTCACCAAAGCAGAGCCCTGCACACACATGAGTGGCCCCAAGGAGTCAGACCCAAAAAACTTGTTTCCAACAGTGGAGGCCTCTTGAAGAGCAGGTAAGTGTGTGGTAATGCTCTCCAAGCCCCCAGCAATCTGTTATTTCAGGAATGTTTTGACATGTGGATGCTGATAGCCTTAATGGATTTTTTTAACTTGAATTTTTCTAGAATTACATTTCTTTGTTTCTTTTAACCCCATGTGAACTTTACAGAGCTGGTACTTTTCATGGTGAGGTGTTCCACGGCTGTGTGACATTTATGAGGAGCTGCTCTTCTTTGCTTGCATATCCCAGATACATTGTCCTCACTCCCTGTCCAGGCCATTTTAACCCTTCCCTCATCCACAAAGCCCTTTCCACAATTAACCTCCACAAAGCCCCTTCTACGATTAACCTCCAACCATGAGGAAAATTGCTGCCCAGTGCTGTTGTTTTTCCCTGGTGACCCCCTTGCCACAGCCGTGGATTTGGCTGCATGGCCAAACTTGTGCAGGTCTGTGGCAGTGGCCAAGCAAAGCGGAACGGCTCAGCAAGCAGCACTGCCACCTGCCCCGGCCCAGCAGGGCTGGACGGGTCTTACTGATTGAAGCAGTGAGCAGCCGAGAGCAGCCAGCGATCCCCAATGATGGTGGCTCCGCAGAAATGCCTGGAGTCTTCTTTCAGGCTGACTTGCCAGGGGATCTCTCCTCTGGAAGCATCCGTTCCTCCCACTATCTTGCTGGGTTTGGAGAGTCCAGGTCGTCCTCCGCACTCTGAACAAAAACCAGTGCATGGGCTTGTGAGTACCCCCAGCAGGAGACAACTGAGAGACTTTTGCTTTCTCTAGATGCTAAGTCCAGGCAGGGACAAGCCAGGGATGAAGTCCGAGGCATCTGCCCAAGCCTGGCCTGCAGATCTGGTGGTGACCAGGTACAACCAGATATGGCCTTCACCCTAACTGTGTCCTGACACTTGGTCTTGGCAGGCCCGTAAGCCCATGCCGCTCTTGAAGGCGGAGGAATCTGCCCCTCTGTGCCCCTTAGCCCTGCCATTCCAGAAAGAAAGTTAATCTTCAGTTTGGAAAAATCTCTATCTCCCTGCAGAGCTGCTGCAGGGAGCTAATGGGTCCTCCTGTGGAATCTCCTCCACCTTGAGATGCTTCGGTGTGGATACGGAGCTGCAGCCATGGAGCTTGAACAGCTGGAAGGCTGTTTGGGTAGCAAAGAAAACTGAGTGTCTGGTCAACGTGTTAAGCGCTATCAGACACTGGTGAGTCTCTGTACCCTGCATCTGCCAGGGGTCCTGGACATGTTGGAGCCTGGTGCTGGGCACAAAATTACACCTTCAATTGCACAAGCAAGTTAGACCACGAAACTTGGCTGCACAAGGAGCAAGTGACTTGGTTGCTCTGCTCCGGGCTAAGCTGGAGCTGCCTTGGCCTTCAGCACTTGGCTGAGGGTTGTGTGTCACCCTGACACAGGTTATTTCAGCTGAGTGGAAGAGTAAACCCCGGCCTGGACCTGTCCCAGCGCCTCTTTGTGCCCCGTTGCACCCACGCCTCTGTGTCTCCTACCTTGTGGCCTGGAGGAGGTCGCTGTCCTGCTGGCAGCTGGGGCTGCCGAGATGCTGGGGGTGGCTCCAGTGACGGTGTCGCCGAGATCCGCGGGGGTCCCCGCGCTGTCGTTAGTGCTGGCGTGTCCCAGTGGGACGCTGTGGCTTACGGAGGTGGGGAAGGCCGAAATAGCCGCAACGATCCAGTCTCTCAGTTTGGTGACGCGGGTGTAAACCCCAGGCCGCCTGGCTTCGGCACATCCAATTCCCCAGCTCACGATTCCCGCTAGGAAAAACTTGCCGGACGGTTCTTCGCAAACCAGCGGCCCGCCAGAGTCACCCTGCGAGAGACACGTGGATGGTGAGGGCTCCTCAGCAAGAGCCCTGGGCCCTTGATGTACCAGAGGAGCACAAGGATCTTCCCTATAAAACCTAGGGCAAGTATTTCTTCTAGTTTCCCGATTTATTAAGCTGCTGCTCTTACAGGTTAAGACCAGCTTTCATTTCGGCCAGTGGGCACAGGTTTTTGTGTTCCCTCCCCCTTTCTTCTTTTCCTGGCTGTACCATCAGCCCTGTTTTACGGCTGAGGAAATAGAGAAAAGCAGCTAAGTTGCCAAGAGAGCCATCCGAAGGAACGGAAAACCTTAATTTGGAGCAGGGTGCCGGCTCCCCTGGGCAGTTCCTCACCTGGCAGGAGTCGACTTTGCCCTCCAGGTAGCCAGCACACAGCATCCTGTCCGTGAGGGCATGGTTGTAGAGGCTGGAGCACAGGCCCTGCTCCAGCAGCTCCACCGTGGCTTTCTGCAGGAACTCCGGCTTCACCACTGAGTGGGAAGAGGCGCTTTGAGCCTCGCGGTGGCTCCAGCTCCCCGTGCTGTAGCCAGGCAGGAGCACAACCCAGCCAGCCCTGCGGTGCCGCTTCCATCCCACCCCGTGTCCTCCACCGCCCGCTGGGCTCTGCTTACGGAAATCCTCCTTGAGGTAGCCCCAGCCGGAGATGAGACACTTCTTTCGGGAAGGGAAGCGGTGCCCGGCGGCGGGCAGGCACACGGGCTGGATGTACTTGGTGAAGGCCAAGGGTCTCTTGAGCTCCAGCACGGCCACGTCGTAGTCGGCCGTGTCGGCGTTGTAGGAGGGGTGCGAGATGATCCTCGCGATGCCCATCTTCACCGCGCTGCCATCCACGCTGCTGAGCGACGTGGTCCCGGCGTACGCTGCCCACAGCGTCGGATCCTGGAACCTGCGGGACACATGGAGGGCACCGGGCAGGCCCGGAGGCAGCAGGAGCGGCCTGTGCACAACCCGTGTGCTCAAGGCACTGCTGCTGCCGCCCTGTCCCCGAGTTTTCCACGGCTAAAGCTGGCCAAGCAAGGAAACCAGCAGCGATGAAGCTGCCCGAGCACAGCAGGAGCCCTTGGAGATGGGAGCTTCTAGGAATGGGATAAGGAAAAGCGCTTACTCGGTGAAGCAGTGAGCGGCCGACACCAGCCATTTCTCCGTGAGGATGGTGGCGCCGCAGAAGTGCTCGTTGTTCTCCCGCAGGCTGACTTGCCACGGAAACTCCCCTCGGGACGCGTCCGAGCCCCCCACGATCCTGCTGGCAGTCTGCATGGCCGGGCGGCTCCCGCAGTCTGGAAGGCAGGAGAAGGTTCAGGCGCCTGTGTCGGACCCCGACGCGGGGAGATTTGAACCCGTGACGGGGAAAGCAGGAGAACCTGCTGCAGCTCAATGCCCCGTCTCAGCTCCCATCAAGGAGCCGAAACTTTCCTGGCGTTGCAGCCCCTGAGAACTGTGTCCCTATGGGGCCCTGACGCGAGCGACTCACTGCAGCCTTTCTCGTCGGAGGCGTCCGAGCAGTCCTTGCGGCCGTCGCATTCCGGGTTTTCTTTCCACACGCACTGGCCGTTGCGGCAAGGGAAGCCGTGCCCGGGGCCGCTCCCTGGGGACAGGGGGGGCGGGGTCACCAGCCTCTCCGTGACCGTGTTCCTGGCCACCCCCATGTCCTCGCGCAGCGGCAGCGCTCACGGCCCCTCCGTGCAGCCAGGAGCGCGGCTGCACCTCAGGGAGAAACTTTTGGGATGAGGGCAGAGGGGAAGAGCCCCGTTCGGGCAAGATGGGGCACGGACGCCTCTCGCAGCAGGGAAAGGGCCGGGCTCGCGGGATGCAGCCGCGCTGAGGGAAGCGGCACCTCATCCTGGGCACGCGGCTCTTCCCGCTCCCCTGCTTTGAGCCCGGGCCGGTGCGGAGAGACGTCGCCGGCGCCTGCAACAGAG